AATTTATTATCTCAGAGCGGGTGATTGTCCCCGCCTTATACGCCCCGTTTCTTTTAAGATGTCTTTTAGGTTTCACAATAATGTGCATTATAAAACCACTATCGTTATTTTGATCTAACTTTACCATGATATTTTAGTAGGGATATTTCCTACAGCTGATTGATTGATTGTGTGTATTTTTGTCCCATTCGAGAATTTCCTACAGTTGAAGTCAAGCTTTTATCATTTAAAATTTACAGAATACCACCGACAAACATTTATCTGCTTTTATATACATTGTACATCAGTTTGCATTGGTCTATAATTCTTACCCAATTTGATCTTCCCCTTAACTCGTTCTCCCAAGCAGAATAACATGTTATATAGTTTTATCATATCTCTACTGATTTTTTCCCTATAGAACATTAGATCGTTAGATGTGACTAATTCCCTAGAAATCGTAATGAATGGATTAGTCCCCGTGCGTTAGTCAAGTGAGCTAATCCCTGCTTCGAAAGCCAATTCCCGGTTATCCGTAATCCTCTAGATTTTACTTTTACATTGGTATGATATGTGAATGGACTAATCCCCGTGTGTTAGTTAGTTAGTGAGCTAATCCCTGCTATGAAATCATGCTATCTGAATCCTCTAACTCTAAATTTTAAGTTTTTATCAGTATAATAAAACAGTTAAAAGTATATCATTGCGGGAGTTAGCAAGATTTCAGTTCCTCTCGACCAGGACTATTTCCCTCGGCTTCGCCTCGGGAAATAGTCTTGGCCTTGGGGAACTGGAATCTTGCTAACTCCCTCAGTGGTATATTTTAACTGTATAAGTATCCACCGTTCTGGTCATGAAAAGCATTTCTAGATATTTAATACTGCAAAAGTTATGTAGTTTTATTCTGCAATCTAACGAAAAAATAAACATATACAAAGAAAATTAAATTTCTGTTTATTTCAAAAATAAAAATCATCACAAATTGTGCTCATTCAAAATTCAGTCAAAATATGATCTATTCATGTAGCTTACATTACATTAGAAATTCAAACACATGCAAGTTTATCAATAGAGGTTGATATAATATTATATTTAGCAATGTTTTAATAATTATATACACATCATAAAAAAGTGTCTTTTTATATTATGCTCACACATAGCAAGAGGCTACTCTAACTTACACAGTAAGTCAACACTCTTCTAAACTAACTCAACATGAAAACACATAATGAGCTACACTACTTACACACATATTGAGTCACTACATGACTATTACACATAAGAATAACAATATTAGCACACAAAATGAGCTACATGTACACTACCGCAGGTAAAATTCTACATTCCCAACACAAAATGAATCCCATGCTACATGTACAACAAACAAATCAAAATAACAATACAAAATATGTATTACAAATACATGTAACATTATTAAAACACACAATGAGCTATACCAGTAACACACATAAAATTATACATTCCCAACAAATGAGTCACCATACTACATGTACAACTCACATAACAAATAACAAAAGTACCACACATAATAAGCTACACTACTAACACACATGTCGAGTCACTACAGAACTAACACACATGTCAAGTAACTACACTACTTACACACATGTCAAGACACTACACTACTTACACACATGTTGAGTCACTACACTACTGATATATACCTTACAAATAACAATTTTAAATCACACGATGAGCAATACAAGTAACACACATAAAATTATACATTCCCAACACACGAGTCACCATACTACATGTACGACTCACATAACAAATAACAAAATTACCACACTTCATAAGCTACACTACTAACACACATGTTGATTCACTACACTACTAACACACATGTCGAGTCACTACACTACTTACACACATGTCGAGTCACTACACTTCTAATATATAACTTACAAATAACAGTTTTAAATCGCACGATGAGTTATACAAGTAACACATTTAAAATTATACAATCCCGACACACCAGTCACCATACTACATGTACAACTCACATAACAAATAACAAAATTACCACACTTCATAAGCTACACTCATAAAACACATGCCGAGTCACTACACTACATAAAACACATGCCGAGTCACTACACTACTTACACACATATCGAGTCACTACACTTCTAATATATACCTTACAAATAACAGTTTTAAATCGCGCAATGAGTTATAAAAGTAACACATTTAAAATTATACAATCCCGACACACCAGTCACCATACCACATTTACAACTCACATAACAAATAACAAAATTACCACACATCATAAGCTACACTCATAAAACACATGCCGAGTCACTACACTACTTACACACATGTTGAGTCACTACACTACTTACACACATATCGAGTCACTACACTTCTAATATATACCTTACAAATAACAGTTTTAAATCGCGCAATGAGTTATACAAGTAACACATTTAATACTATACAATCCCGACACACCAGTCACCATACTACATGTACAACTCACATAACAAATAACAAAATTACCACACATCATAAGCTACACTCATAACACACATGTCGAGTCACTACACTACTTACACACATGTCGAGTCACTACACTACTTACACACATGTCGAGAAATTCGCTGGATTAGACGACATTCCGGATTAGACAACATTTAAAACAATTGAGTCTACTGCAGGTGACTTAAAGTTAACGTTGTATAAGTCAAGTTTTTGGAGTACACAACATCCGAATAAGACAAGTTTCACTGTATATTACAAATAATAATATAAAAACACATGAGGAGCTTTACCAATAACACACATAAAATCACATATTCCCAACACGTAATGAGTCAACATACTACATGTACAACACACATAACAAATAACAAAATTACCACACATAAAAAGCTACACTACAAACACACATGTCGAGTCACTACACTACTAACACACATGTCGAGTCACTACACTTCTAATATATACATTACAAATAACAACATTAAATCATATGATGAGCTATACCAGTAACACACATAAAACAAGAAGTCTGTGAGCCAATGCTCACTGGTAATACCTCCGTTGTGATTTGAATATACACTATCATGTGTATATTCACAAGTTCAACTATGGACAGAGGCATGAATAAACAGGAAGTTGACATCAGATTCATACAAAAATGAATCCCACCATATGACAATTATGCGTCAACAAAGAGTGTGCTAAAATTTCAAGCATCTGCAATGAGTTGTTGCTGAGAAAACTTTGACAAAAATTTGTTCCATATTATACAGACAGACGCACAGTTAAACAGGAAGTTGACATCAAATTCAGAAATGAATCCCATCATATGGCATGCCTAAACAAAGAGTGTGTAAACTTTCATGCATCTGCAATAAGTAGTTGATGAGAAACTGCAACAAATATTTGTTATATATGGTATAGACAGACACACAGATAAACAGGAAGTTGACATCAGAATTGTACAAAAATAAATCCCACGATATGGCATGCCAAAATAAAGAATGTGCTAAAATTTCAAGCATCTGCTCTGAGTAATTGCTGAAAAAACTGCGAAAAAAATTCGTTATGTATGGTACGGACAGACGCACAGATAAAAAGGAAGTTGGCATCAAATTCATACAAAAATGAATCCCACCATATGACATGCCTCAGCAATGAGTGTGCTAAAATTTCAAGCAATAAGTAGTTGCTTAGAAAACTGCGACGAAAATGTGTTATGTGTGGTATGGACAGACACATGGATAAACAGGAAGTTGACATCAGATTTGTATGAAAATGATTCCCACCAAGCCTAAACAAAGAGTATACTAAAATTTCAAGCATCTGCAATGAGTAGTTGCTCAGAAAACTGTGACCAAAAATTTGTTATGGACAGTCAGACAGACACACACACAGCTAGACAGACAAGGGTAAAACAGTATCTTTTGGAGCAAGAATATAATAATACATTCCCAACACATGAGTCACCATACTACATGTACAACACACATAACAAATAACAAAATTACCACACATAATAAGCTACACTACTAACACACGTCGAGTCACTACACTACTAACACACATGTCGAGTCACTACACTACTAACACACATGTCGAGTCACTACACTAATAAAATATACATTACAAAAAAAATTATTAAAACACACAATGAGCTATACCAGTAACACACATCAAATTAAAATATACTTTCCCAACACATGAGTTGCCATACTACATATACAACAACCATAACAAATAACAAAAATACCACATATAATAAGCTACACTTCAAACACACATGTCGAGTCACTACACTACTAACACACATGTCATGTCACTACACACTAACATACTTGTGGAGTCACTACAATACTAATATATACACTACAAATAACTATATTAAAACACACACAATGAGTTATACAAGTAACACACATAAAATTATACATTCCCAACACATGAGTCACCATACTACATGTACAACTCACATAACAAATAACAAAATTACCACACATAATAAGCTACACTACTAACACACATGTCGAGTCACTACACTACTAACACACATGTCGAGTCACTTTACTACTAATAAATACATTACAAATAACCATTTTAAATCACACGATGAGGCATATCAGTAACATACATAAAATTATACATTCCTAACACATGAGTCACCATACTACATATGTACACAAAATAACCACACATCATAAGCTACACTAATAACACACATGTCGAGTCACTACACTACTTACACACATGTCGAGTCACTACACTACTAATATATATTACAAAAAACAATATTTACACACATTATGAGTTATACCAGTAACACACATAAAATTATACATTAATTCCCAACACATGATTCACCATACTATATGTACTATCATACATGTAAAACAAATAACAAAATTACCACACATAACGAGCTATACTACTAACACACATTTCAAGTCACTACACTACCATTCATATAATGTTATATATAAATGAGGTCATATAAGGAGTCAATAATAGAGTCAACATGCTCCTAAAACACACTTATATTAGGTCGTTATAGCACTTGTCACATGTACTAGCACATGAATCACTATTATGACAAAAGAATTCTTTAGATGTACATGTAGTTGTTATTTAATCTTTGTCTGGCTGTTATGATATTTTAACAGCAAATTTTATACTCTTTCCTGCAAATTCAAAGATTGTTCTGCTTTCTGGAGGGGCATTCAAACACTTCAATTGACCATGTTTAAGTCATACTGACTTATTCCACTCCACATTGGCACTCTATGGCTGTTTTTCTTTTGTCCACACATCTTTCAAATGGAACTGAAATACATAATTATATAATAGAACCATTAAAGCTTTTACATAAAAATGAAATAAAAATATATCAGTGATCAAGTTTCCAATCTTAATTAAGACACAACAACACTTCTTTAAAAGCAAAAGGACAAGAATAAATTTTAAAATTAAAATTCCTAAAACAGCTAGTTAACATTTTGTGTATTTGATTTGTATTAAATGATTATCCTTTAGAACTTGTTAGCCTTTTGAATTACTGTAAATGTATAATATTTAGCGTGTACGATATTTGGCAGAAGTTGATTATTGAGCAAGTTAGCGGAGATTTGATTTAGAGCATTTGTTAATGTTCTTCTTTATGTGTATTTGTGCAAGACATTTAGCGTTGTACTTGAATTAGCGGACATTCCTTTCCGACAAAGGCACTAAAAAGAATACACAGCGAAAAGTATATTCACAACTTAACAAACACTTTCTGAAATTTTGGGTTATCCTTTTCTTTTGTCCTTGCCTTTGGTTTCCTATCAAGCTTTCCAGTTTAAAGTGCCAAACTTTAATCTCATCTTGTTCTATAATTTACATATCAAAAGGTTGGAATCTTTATAGTTAGGACTATATAAGTACTCACAACAGAATACATGCATCTAGACAAATAAGGATTTTTTCAAAATGAAAACATGTATCCAAGCAAGTCATTTATAAGAATATTATAAATGAAAACATTCAACAAGCTACACAAATTAGATTCATTTAGCTTTTCCTGTATATTTATCTGTCTCTCATTAGTAACATATATTAATAAATGGAGTAAAATGAAAGACCTAATTTTAATTACACTAAAAGTCTACCAAGTAACAGTAATATGTAATAATTAGTTTTACATGTTTCATAATGTGCATAAGGAGATGGGTGAACAAGGCATGCAAAAAGCCTATAGCTTCAAATGTATAAAAATCATATTCAAATACTGAGTTTAATATTTAGAGTAAAGTTCTTCTTATTGAAAGGTATAACATTATACATGTATTACAAACAAAACTTTTCTGTGGAAAATTCTTTAAGCAAAAATCATTCTATGATAAAAAAAAAAGTGGTATTCTAGGGGTTGAAACCCAAGCAATGAAATTAAATCCTGAATATCAGTTTTTTTTCTAAGAGACTAACATGCTAACCACTAAACTACATACATGTAGCTCATGACAAAAATGGGCATTTACATATGTAAATCACGTTTAAAAATGTGGCTCTTGACTAAATGGATTTCAAATATATTTCTGAAAGATATGCAGGGTTTGACACTAAGGCACGTCCGACTGACCCAGTCTAGTAAATGCATGGTCCGTCATGTTAAATGTTCAATAACTTGCCCGACTGGTTGTGTGGATGAAATAAATGTTAACTCTCATTTCAGTCTTTCAAATAAATGCTCTGACTAAAAACTTTTTAAAGAAATTTTCTTAATTTTCAGATTCAAACACAGCCATTGCTCTGAAAAAGAAAACTTTCCTGCATGACACAATTGCTATTTTTTTTAGACCGGCTGTAATAGACAAGTCACAATCGAAACCTCAGCTTTGTTCAGTATCATTTGGTATAAATATTCATTGAATATTATAGTTTTTAATTTATTTACATGTATATTTACGGTAATAATTTTATTTAAGTTCCTTGAATTTATGTTCTTTAAAGCTTATAACATTCGCATGTTCACTCATTGGGCTGCTACCTATGGGCTCAACAGTCTGTCAAAATGTATACATGAACACACGCGAGAGATACACTGTAGTATGGTTTCAAAACTTTTTTCCCATTATAATAGGAGGTTATAAATAGAAAATTTTCAAGTTTGGTCAGGGCTAGTGAATTTATGGTCAGAGCTAGTAAAAATTATGGGAAGTAGCACGACTGATCTAGTACTCATAAAAGTTAATGTCAAACCATGATATGAATGTTGTTGTGACTAGTGGTGTTCCAATCATCGATTATAATCGAAAATCAGTCGATTGCTGGCATAATCCAAGCACTCGATTACAAATTTTTTATTCTGATTAATCGGGTTATTTATTTTATTTTAAAAGCGTAAAAGTTTTTAAGCCAAATATTCCAGCCGCAACTTTTCTATTAACTTAATTATATGCATATCGTAATGGCACAGACAAAGAGACATTGTATTCATACCCGGGTAACAACGCTCATTCCTGGGTATGGACGTACTTTGGATTCTACAAAATGAGCATAGAACCAGCTTGACTAGATAGAACATTCTGTCGTTAAAATGATATTGTCCTAAGGACTAGGGGTTGTTCCGAGACACAGTTATTCCAACTACAGCTGGACCACCACAGAAAGTTGTTATTCAACCATTCTTACCATTTAATAAACTAAAATTGTCAGACTTTGTAAATGTCCGATTATAATTGATAATTAGTTAGTTACAGTAGCCTGATCATCGATTATGAAATTCTTACCAATTCCCATCACTAGTTGTGACATAAAAGTCTATTTTTAGAAGAGTTGGTCATTTCACCATGTTTTTGTCAAACGAAATAGGAAAAGTTTTAAATATGCTTCGAGTATAATCTTACCAAAATATGGAGTGAAGACCTATTCATATTTAAAAAGTATGATATAGGAGGAAAAAATGACCATTTTTGCCCTCTTTTGGTGTGTATCTGCTATTTCATAGATCAATAATATTAATCGTTATAAGATTGTAGCAAATTGCAAAGATTTTACATAAGGTATACAATAATGTTACATGAAGTATCAAAGAAATTTTTGACATGATTAAGATTTAACTTTTTACATCTTTTTCTGTCACACAATAGGCATTTACTTGCCTTGTTTGCCCATCATCTTTATCAGTAGATAAGGTTTATGATTCAGACGGCATCTGATAATGCAGCAATAAAATGTAAAATGATAGAAATAACTGCACTATGCTCACTTTTTTCCTCCCAGAGCTCTTCTTTTCATCTTCAATTTCTTCCTCTTCATTTCCTCAACTTTTTCTTCTATTGCAAGTTCTGTAAAAAAAAAAATCCAATTCGATAAACTACTAAACTGACAAAAACTCAATTTTCAGTCAAGTTTCGGATTTTACCAGATTCATGAAAAATCTTGGCATACTGAACCTTTCTAGTGATTTATCTGAGAAAAGAGTGGTTAGTAACTTATTCGTTTTCATGTACCTGCTTGACTTCGACAGAAACGTTTTGGTACTAGAATGTGAAATACATACTTTTGTTATTTACCTAAAATATTTCCATGACCTCAAATTCACCTATATTTCTTGCTGCTATTAAAGCCTGGTCAAGAAATAACGTTTCCCCTATAACAGGCATCAATTAACAAGGTTATGATTCAAAGTTTCAAAGTGTGCAGCTTGATTCACACAAAAGAAAAAAAAACATGACTGAACAGATTTACAAGTACTTGCAAAGAAGACTAGAAATGTGTCTTGATCGACATTTTCAGCCTAAGGTAAAGTCAGGGCATAGTCATGTAACATGTAACATTTTTCATGATGAATTACCTATATACAGTCCAATCTCATTATCTTAAACTAGATGACACAAAGTAAAAAAAAATAAAGATGTTCCTGGGTTCCAGTAAAGAGTACTCAAATACCACTTAATCATACAGTGAAACCTGTGTAATCCGACATGCACTGGGAGACAAATTTTTTGTCGGAATAGATAGGGCGTCGTATTGATCAGTGTAAAAAAACATAGAAAAAAGTAAAATGGGAATGAAATTTAACGTTGGAATTTACAGTGTGACGGATTGCACAGGTGTCAGATTAGACAGTTATCACTGTACAATCATATAATTATGGAGATAACGAAGCTCAAGAGTCCATAGAAAAAATACAAATCAGGAGCAAACACGGACCACTAAAAACATCAGAGGTGGGATCAGGTGCAATATAGGAGTAAACATCCTCTGGCAATCATTCACATTTGATGTGTGCTCCTTGTCATGATCGGGAAAAAGGAAAAGTCTGTAGACAATTCAATGTGTAAACAGACAATTCAATGTGTAAATAATGGCCAAACAATTAGTATTAAAAACATCAGTCCGCATTCGACTTACATGTAATGAAAGATTGTTTTGCTGACAAGGTCATTGTATCGACCATAGCTAATTACACACATGCAAGTCACTACATCCAGTCTAAGTTGATGTTTTGATATTTTTTCTCAAAATATTTATGAAAGAATAAGATAAGTACACGGTAATTTTGTTGACGTGAAGAAATACATTGATGGGGAAAGGGGGGGGGGTATTGTGATAATAATTACCTAGTCCTTTTTCATTCTGCCTTTTTCTTTATTTCTTTCCCTTTCTCTTCCGTTCCACCCTCTGGCTCATTATCTTCCATCACTTCATCCCTCTCAGAAATGGTTTCCAGTACAGATAAAGTGGTTGATGAATGACTTACTCAAAATTATGGACCCATGATATAGATGTTGTAATAATGTTACATGACACACACTGCAAGTCACTGTGCCCTGTAAAAATTGTTACCTTCTTCATTTATATTTAAGGATCAAGAACTAAATAAGAATTCATTATTAAGTTTTACAAAAAAACTTTATAAATCAGGATTTGAGAGGGCTTTGTAAAAATACTGTGAGATACATAATGTAATAACCTTGTCCTTTCTTCACCTTGTCCTCCTTGTTCTTCAGCTTTTTCTCCACTTCCTCATCTTCCTTCATTAAATCTTCCCTAGTAGCTGCTTCTAGTAGAAATAAATACCAATAAAATAAATTAAAAAAATCTTGACTCAAGAAACAGTAATGGTTACACATATTATAAAAAAAGAACATTCTTAGAATATTTGTGAAGAACTAAATAAGTATTTTAGCTAATTAAAGTAAAAGACATTCCTATCAAATAGAAAACAAGAAGTCTGTGATCGAGCCAATGCTCACTAGTAATTATAATTCCCGCACTGATTTGAATTTAGTACGGACAAGCACAGGGGTAAACAGGAAGTTGACGTCAAATTCATACAAAAATGAATCCCACCATATGGCATGCCTAAACAATTTAAAAGTGTGCTAAACTTTCAAGCATCATCCTTAACAGTTGTTGAGAAAACTGTGATGGAAATTTAGTACGGACAGATGGAGGGATAAACAGGAAGTTAACATGGGATTCCTACAAAAATACATCCTACCATATGGCATGCTAAACAGAGAGCGTGCTAAAATATTAAGCACCTTCGATGAGTAGTTGCTGAGAAAAGTGCAACAGAAATTTGGTAAGGACATGGATATAATAAATATGACTAATTTAAATCATGTTTCTGTCATTCCATGTAAACTTTGATCCTCTTCTGTGGCCCTACCCTACCCCTAGGGTCCATGAATTGAACAAACTTGAATCTACACTACTGGTATTTCAGGAAGCTTTCAAATACATGCAAGTTTCTCAATTAATGCAAAATTGGTTATTTTCACTGGTTTAAATTTTCATGATTTGAGGGGATTTAATTTGTGGTTGAAAAAAAAAAACAACATATGACATCATATCATAAAATTTCGATATTTGGTTTCATTACAATGTATACTAGTAGCTTAACACTGAAGGGTTTTTTTTTTATTTTGCCTACCATGAAATGAGACCTTGATTTTTAAGGTTTCATTTAAAACACATGCATCTTTCACTTATAGAGTCACAGCTTAGTAATCGAACAATCTCATTACCTATTTCAAACATCTTGGATTGACAAGGTGCTAGGAACAAGAATTGAACAGGGACCTATTGATTATAATGCGAGTACCGACAACAACTACCGTCTAGGCTACTGTGATTTGTCAGTTTCAGGAATTAAGATAAGGGATATCAATAATGAACACTTAAGTAATTATTGCAAAATATAAAGTCTAAACATTTCAGAAAGACTATGAATTTTAAATTAATTCTACTGATTTAGTTAAAAGTTTTTGTTAGAGACTGATAAAGGAGACTTAAATTTTCAATTCAACTTTCCAGCATCATGTTTTATACAGTGTAAGCATGGCCTGACTAAATATATGCCTGAGATATTTTAATGTCAGGGTTCAACACTAATGTTAGTCCGTTAGTCTGATCAGACTAATACATTTTCATTTGGACTAATAAAATCTGTCGCTAGTAAGTCCCAACAGACCAATAAAAATTTCTGGAAAACAAAATGAATAAATTACGATTTTCAACAATTAACATTTACTAGAAAACCCTGCATGTATTTTTAGCTTTCTAGCATCTTAGCAGGTAGTAAGGTAATTCTGAGTCAAGTTGGTACTTAATTTTACAACTGACTGATGTGAAATTAAACATTTTAGTGATTATGATTTAGTCCTGTACAAACAATTAAGGTGGATTCCGCCCAGAATTTCGTTGGACACCAAGGGTATTCCACCGAATCCACAAATTCCAGGCTCTCAGAGATTCCGCCTAAATTTAACAGATTCCAGTCATCAAATTCTAGGCTGAATTTAGTTCAGTGGGAAAATAGCTGGAAATTATAAAAAGAAATATTTTGGACAGTTTAAATGGAATCTATATTCAGGCGGAATCCTGTTATTTCAAATCTAGATGGAATTTCAATTTCCATGCAGGCAGAATGTCAATTTCCAGGTGGAACTAATTACATTTTCGCCTCAAATTTCCAGCAAGTCTCCGCTTGGTTAACGCTTGGTTTCTGCTTATATTGCTTTAACATTTATAGTAAGTTTTACGCCTGGAATTTTACTGAGAATTCTGTCTTGATTATGCCTTTTTCCAGGTGGAACATTTTGTACAGGGTATGATACATAAAGATGTCAAACGTTTTGAGTATAATGAACGAGATCAGGAATATGTTCATACTTCCTGCATGATCACGAGATTTTAAACAAGAGGCCCAGGGGCCACATCGCTCACCTGAGCACTATGGCTAGGAAAAAGCAGAATTCAGTTCAGTCTTGAAAGGTTGAAAAGTTTAAATAAAAAAGTGGTTCGGGGGGGGGGGGGGGGGGGGGGGTTGTCATGAATTGAACAAATTTGAATCTACATTATCTGAGGATGCTTCCATTTAAATATGACCAAACATGACTTTGCTGTTCTTGAGTAGAAGATTTTAAAAGATTTAACCTATGTATTCCTATGTAAAACTTTGATCGCCCATTGTGGCCCCACCCGACCCCCGGGGGTCATGATTTGAACAAACTTGAATCTACACTACCTGAGGATGCTTCCATGTAAATATGACCAATCATGGCTTTGCTGTTCTTGAGAAGAAGATTTTTAAAGATTTTTCCTATATATTCCTATGTAAAACTTTGATCGCCCATTGTGGTCCCACCCGACCCCCAGGGGTCATGATTTGAACAAACTTGAATCTACACTATCTGAGGAGGCTACCATATAAATATGACCAATCATGGCTTTGCTGTTCTTGAGAAGAAGATTTTTAAAGATTATTCCTATATATTCCTATGTAAAACTTTGATCGCCCATTGTGGCCCCACCCGACCCCCAGGGGTCATGATTTGAACAAACTTGAATCTACACTACCTGAGGATGCTTCCACATAAGTTTCATATTTTCAAGCACAGTGGTTCTTGAGAAGAAGATTTTTTAATGATGCCATTAATTTTTCACAAATTCTTAATTATCTCCCCTTGGAAGAAGGCGTGGCCCTTCATTTGAACAAACTTGAATTCCCTTTACCCAAGGATACTTTGTGCCAAGTTTGGTTGAAATTGGCCCAGTGGTTCTTGAGAAGAAGATGAAAATGTGAAAAATTTACAACAACAACGACTACGACAACAACAACGACAGACAACGGACAAATTTTGATCAGAAAAGCTCACTTGAGCCTTTGGCTCAGGTGAGCTAAAAATCTTTGGAATAAAACACTTCATGTACTTTCAAACAAGAGGCCCAAGGGCCTTAACGGTCACCTGAGTATGATATAACAATTTCAAGGATGCATAGAGTATAAAATGAATTGAAAGGTGAAGCTTTGTTGCCCAAAAGCAAGAAAAATAGGGTGATCATGATCAACAAAATAATTGGTCTTAATATTCATTAACAGTTCATAAATTAGGTTCTAATCTGTTCCCCATTTATCACTATCACTATACAGTATATTAACAAATTATCAATGCTTCTGTACTATTTTAATCCTTTGTTGAAATCTCTTACATTGGCATCTCTTGGTCTTTGATGAATATTTAATAAGACAAGTTATTTTTGTCTCATTTTTATTTATCTACTACTTACAAGTCTATCTGATCATTAAAACTATGAAAGTACTTTTTGTATTATACAATAAAAGTTTTTGCATAATTCTCTTGTTTTATTTACCTTTCAAGTACATTATTTACAGTGATAAATTATCAAAAGTAAATGGCAAAGGGGAATAACTCCTCTCAGTAGAATACAAACTAATAGAGCCCTGGCCAGTACCAGAACACTTGACCAAATGGTCCAGATGTTCAAAAATCTGGTAAAAATTCCCTTCCTTATAAAAAGTTTTACTCTGTTTGCCTCAGATATGCCCAGGTGCGGAGAAGATTTTTAAATAAATAATGCATTTTTACTACAGATTCACTATATTATCAATAGAGCCCCCCCCCCCCACCCCCAAAACACCAGAGCTTCTGACCCTGGGACCATATGTTTGCTCATCATCACTTTGTTTATCTGCTTAACACTAAGAAGCAAACAGGATTATTTAATAGAATTAATGCATTTTCACTAAATTATCAAGAGCCCCACCCTCACACCAGCACATCTGATCCAGGGGTCATGAAATTCACTACTCTGGAAGAAGCACACTTGCTCATCATAACTATACACATAGCTTCTTTGCTTTTTTAACCAGAAGAAGAAAAGAATATTTTCAAAGAAATTTTGCTTTTTCGCTTTATAATCAATAGAAGCCCCCCCCCCCCCCTTCACCAGAACCCTTAAACCTGGGGTCATAAAATTCACAATTTTGGAAGAGGCATCCTTGTGTATCACAACAATGTACTTTAGTCTGTTTAAGCAATACCCAGGGACAGAGAAGAAGATTTTCAAAGAAATAATTCACCTTCACTATAGGATCTATATAGCCCCGCCCTAGCACCAGAACTCCTGTCCCCGGGGCCATGAATTTCACAATTTTGGAAGAGGCATCCTTGCTTATCATAACAATGTACTTAGTCTGTTTAAATAATACCCAGGTGCAGAGAAAAAGATTTTTAAAGAATTAAAACATTTTCACTTTATAATCAATAGAGCCCCACCCTAACACCAGAACCCCTGATCCAGGGGCCACGAATTTCACAATTTTGAAAGTGGCATCCTTGATTATCATAACTATGTATTTAATGTGTTTCAATAATACCCAGGAGTAGAGAAGAAGATTTTCAAAGAATTAATGCATTTTCACTATATAATCAATAGAGCCCCCCCCCCCTCCTAACACCAGAACCCCTGACCCAGGGGCCATGAAATTCACAATTTTGAAAGAGGCACTCTTGCTCATCATAACTATGTACTTAGTTACTGAATTTAATACCCAGGAGCAGAGAAGAAGATTTTCAAAGGATTAATGCATTTTCACTATATAATCAATAGAGTCCCGCCCTAACACCAGAACCCCTGACCCAGGGGCCATGAAATTCACAATTTTGGAAGAGGCACTCTTGCTCATCCTAACTATGACCTTAGTTAGTTTATTTAATATCCAGGAGCAGAGAAGAAGATTTTCAATGAATTAATGCATTTTCACTATATAATCAATAGAGCCCCACCCTAACACCAGAACCCCTGCCCCTGGGGCCATGAATTTCACAATTTTGGAAGAGGCACTCTTACTCATTATAACTATATACTTAGTTAGTTTATTTAATACCCAGGAGCAGAGAAGAAGATTTTCAATGAATTAATGAATTTTCACTATATAATCAATAGAGCCCCGCCCTAACACCAGAACCCCTGCCCCTGGGGCCATGAATTTCACAATTTTGGAAGAGGCACTCTTACTCATCATTACTATATACTTAGTTAGTTTATTTAATACCCAGGAGCAGAGAAGAAGATTTCCAAAGAACTAATGCATTTTCACTATATAATTATCAATAGAGCCCCGCCCTAACACCAGAACCCCTGCCCTGGGGCCATGAATTTCACAATTTTGGAAGAGTCACTCTTACTCATCATAACTATATACTTAGTTAGTTTATTTAATACCAAGGAGCAGAGAAGAAGATTTTCAAAGAAATAATGCACTTTCACTATGTGATCTATATAGCCCCGCCATAGCACCAGAACCCCTGACCCTGGGGCCATGAATTTCACAATTTTGGTAGAGGACTCAATGCTTATTACAATGATTCCAACAGTTTGACTGTTTGATGTCCAGGAGTAAAGAAGAAGATTTTTAAAGATTGCATTAATTTTGGTGGTTTTAGCCCCACCCCTCAGGCCCCAGGGGGGCAGGGACCATGAAATTCACAATTTTTGTTCCCCTTCACCCATAGATGCTATATGCCAAATTTAGTTGAAATTGGTTGAGCGGTTTCAGAGAAGAAGCTAAAAATGTTCAAATGTTAACGCACATCGCACGACGCACGTCGCACGACGCACGCCGACGGACAAAAACGGATAGCAATAGGTCACCTGAGTGACTCAGGTGACCTAAAAACTATAAAAAGTACATTAATTGTAATCAGTCTTCGACAAATCCCGGGAGTCCGAACGCAGCTATGTTAAGGCTTCCCGAAGCTTTAAAATGCGTTCAAAACATAATATGTCATTGCGAGGTCGGTTTTGGTTTTAATTCATAAGTATTAAACTTTAGTACTTCCAATTTATATAAAGGGTTTCCTCGGCTATATATTAGCGTATTTGTTATGATATCACATGACTTTGTTGATCACGTGACGGTCATTTATAATTTTTTGAAGTGTTTCATATAAATCGCTTCGGCGCAGCTGATTAACACAATAATTATAAACATTTTGTTATATAAATAAACTCATCGTATCCTTGTGTATCCGAAATGTGCTTGGGAAAAGTCGTAGTATTACTTGGGTACAAAATATTTCCTGAGAAATTCAACTTACCTACAAATTTGAGGGTATTTTCCACACAATATCGTAATCTGTATTAAAACAAAGCCAACACACACTTTTCCCAAGCAAGATTCAGTTAGAGAACAACCTCTTCTTACAGATTTCCACAAAAATTCTCAGATTAATCCTCATTAATCACCTGCGACAGACTCTTTTATACACACAAAATAAATTCTACCTCCAACCACGGGTATAAAACAGAGTACATTTCAAAAGTATATTTTTCCTAAGCATTTTGAACATGAAGAATTTCAATCAAGGGTAGGTAAGCGGTGTATTTTTAAAATACTCGGACATATAAGACTTAAAAAACCTTTAACGACCCGCGAATTTTGTAATAGCTATTTAGCATTTTACATGCAGTATGAAATAAAGTGTTACGTTCATGACACTCTCCCAGTCATAACACCTCAAGTTTGCAGTGACCTGACGTCATTTTCCATTATGACGTCATATTTTGGTAGTTCGGAGATGTGAAGGCACAGAGTGCACTGTCATATTCTACGGGAAGCCTTAACCTACCTGCGAAGCCCGGGACCTGGTAAAATTGGAAGGGGGCATGTGGAAATTGCATACTTACAAGCCCAAAGGGCATGTGAATTCTGAGGCCTACGCCTCCGTATTATTAAATTAAGTAATACACATGTACCAATAACATTAAATGAACTTAAAAGTCTGATTTTTCATCTGAAGTGGAGCACCAAATAAAATTTTAACGATAGTTTATTCTACCACGATTTCCAGGGAACTCTTTTGCAAAAGAAACACAAAAAGTGTACAGGTTGAAAACAATATTAATGGCTAGACAATAGATCGATAGAAATGGATTTCGGATCATTTCCTTCCCATGAAAAGGCAAATAAGAATAAAATTACTTGATAAAATTCTGGGCATGTGAATATTTGTTCGGGCTAGCGTAATAAGTGGTTAAACCTGCCCGAAGGGCATGTACTGAAAAAAAGATTTGGCAAAGACTGCATTGTAATGTTTATTTTTAGATAAATCGTTACAAAACACTGATCTTTCCTTTTTTGACGGACTCATGTGAAGTAGTAAAAGAAGGACATGTTTGTTGAAACACCCTGTATTAAAGGGATTTCAACGCTTATGTACATGATGTATTTGTTTAACCATTCATCCCACCCCAAAGCAAAAAAAAGAAGCTTTTTAAAACAATTCTACTTACACATTAGAAGTACTGCCATCTTTTTTCTCCTGGTGAAGATTCAAAATATAATTAAATGGGTTTGTGTTCACTGGCCAATAGTTTTAAACACCATCTGCAGGAACCTTGAAGTTTTCCTGTATCACCATGAACCTAAAAAAATCGATGTAATACTTCAGTATCACAAAACATCCATCCTAAAACATTCACAGACAGACATTACACACATACAAACGTTCCATGTTCCATTTATGTTCATTATTTGAAAATAATCATAAATTATGAATTTGCTTCATCTTGCACTGATTTAAGTCCCAACATTGTTTAGTTAAATAAATAATACAGTTAAAAAGCATGTTTTACTGACCATGCTGACAAATAATACATTAGACAAAATTAATACATGTATCGATCATGCCATCAATAAAATATGAAAAATGTTAGTGTGCATGTTCACACACACTTGAATAAGTTGACTGACTGCTTCCAAAGAATGTACATGTCCTCATTCATGTAATCCTGTTCCATGAAAATAGTTTTCATTTATACCCCTTCATAAAATGACACATGCATGTCACTTACATACTGCAAGACCCTGCCGGCCTGTACATTGAGTACACTACTTTCACTTTGAACTTGAACTTGACTGAATACCGATTCCGACCTCGTTTGTGAATTTTTGTGTATATATTGAATCCTTATGTAAAAATATATTCAACTTAGCTTTGAATTAATAAATAATATAAATTGACACATTAATTGAATTTATTCGCTACATACATGTAACTGTAAACAACAGGAGGTATGAGAATTAGCTGTATGTTCATAAAGGGGGGGGGGGGGGTTACTCCCATATGAAACTGTCTGGGTGGTTTAAACACAGGCACAAATTTAGCTTCCATAAACCTGTAACAGACAGCATTTCTCCTCCTATATATGTAAAATATGTATAGAAAGCCATGCGAAAAAGTGGTCAAGGCAAGAACAGGCATGGGATAATGACTGAAATATAACATAACACAGTTTTACAAATAAACCCTTCACAGAAAGTTGTGCTAGGTTCCCTACATGAACTCATGGATTCTGAAAAACCTGTACCAGAAACCTGTGCCATTTTCCATATCTGGAGACCCTGATTTGGGAAACCGACCATGTCAAAAAATAACCAAATATGGAGTCATGAGATCTGCATGTGCCTTGATTAATTCATCTAGATCTGGGTTAGGATCTTGGAGAATCCCCTGATGTTGCTGTAGATGCCAAATAGAGACTGAATACAAACTTTACCATGCTTTACATTATTAATTTGATTAGTTTTAGAATTTTTAAAGTTTGAAATTAATACATGTATGAGAGTGTCACATTCATTTTTATAGAACTTATCTACACTATCATTTTAACAATTTATAGTAGTTTCTTATTAAGAATCAAATGATTCAATGCACAATTCTATAGTAATTTAACTTAATTAGGCCAAATGAAAAAAAATTATGTGTTTCTGGTGACATATGCTAAAAAAATTAGGCTAGGTAAGTAGGGAATAACTTTTTTTTTTACTTTACTGTTAATTTTGTTTACTTGTTTGTTTGTTGTTTAATTCCCTTTCGAGAAATTTTCACTCATATGGAGATGCCACTACTTGTCAGTGGAGGGCTGCAAATTAATAGACCTATACTCCGCTCTCAGTGAGGGATCTTTTTCATGCCAGCACCTACTGCGACATAGGACCTCTGTTTATATGGTCTCATCCGAAGGACCGGTCTTCACATCCCACAGTGGGATTCGAACTTGCAATCTAAGGATCAACTCCTTACTTCGCGACTCTAGAGCAAACACTCTAACCACTGCGTCACACAAGCAACACTTTTTATTTTGAAAGCATCAATTAATTATTCTGTACATTGTTTTTCTATCATATACATGTACATAAACATACATGTATATGAATAAACAAACAAACATATATATATATATATATATATATATATATATATATATAAAGTAGGAGTACTCTTTAAGACTCTTGGATAAACAGGTTTTTACAGTGTACGAGACATGCATTTTATGGACTGCACTATGAGAAAACTTTACTATGAACAAAAGTATGATTCAAAATCTCGATTTGGAATAAAAAGTAGTAGAGTCGGTGGGTAAAATTAGATCAGCTGGGTTATGGGAAATACATGTTGTTGTTTTTTTCAGCCTAAGTTTGTTCAATTTGAATTTAATAAAATCATAACTTTCTTTATCATGTGATGATCGACACAGAATGAAATGAGATTGTTAACTTAGGTTAAATCATCATTGATCAACAAAGACTATTTCAATGTCTGTCAGCTTGCACTGAAACATCCAAGGATAAAGATTTCAAATGGCTTCTATATTAGACTTACTTACTTAGACTTTTAGTTCAAAAGTGACAAAATCATTCAAGTTGACCTAAGTACAATTCCAAGTGATATACATGTATATTAGTTATGTATCTTTTATAAAGTAAGAAAGACACAAGCTATATTAGCTCAGGATCATGAATCCTTCTAATCTGATTTGCACAAAGGAAGTTATGATCATGCTATGTAAAAAGCCGTGAGATTAAAAATACATGTATATAGTTTGAACCAAATCTGCCTCATTCATATTTTGTAAGTTAGAAACTGTCTTCTTGGGACAAGTATTCCTTGCCTACACATTGGTTTCTGTGCACAAGAACACCTTGCTTTCAACCTCAGATTCTGTGTCCATATCTTGGGTCTGTGGAGCCCGTACATCTTTTCTAAATTTCATATATGGGTTCCGTGCCTTAACTGTGTCTATATACACTATGTCTATTTCACCTCAAAATTTTGGAAGGACACTATATTGCGACTCAATTTGTTTTAAAATATGCACATTAAGCAAAATAAAAGTTGTGTATTTCATAGATTTCAACAATTGGAAATGATAATATTATTAAATTACAAACTTCAACTCAGCCTGAAAGTACAATTTTTTTAACAAGTAGAATTTCTCTTAGCATGCTTACCAATAGACGTACTCAATATATATGGGGTATACAGTCCACCAATACATTTCCCATAGGCGACAATGTTAACCTTTTCTCACACTGTTTTAAATCCTTGCTTTACATTTAAGGATGGAACAACTCTCAAATAACATCTGAAGGTGGAATGTCAGATTGTTTTCCGGCCAAATGCACACATTCGCAAAAAATAAACATCTGAAAATGAAAGTAATTAAAACAATAAAAGTAAAGCATTAACATTTCCAAAATCTAGGGTGTGCACATATCAAACTATACAATTCCTTTCCTTTAAAGTCGCCCGCGTGGCGCAGTGGTTAGAGCGTCTGCTCTAGAGTCGCGGAGTAAGGAGTTGATTCTTACGTCGCGGGTTCGAATCCCACTGTGGGACGTGGAGACCGGTCCTTCGGATGAGACCGTATAAACCGAGGTCCCATGTCGCAGTAGGTGCTGGCACAAAAAAGATCCCTCACTGCTCAATGGCCATAAATGCTGAGTATAGGACAAAATTTGCAGCTCTCCACCAGCAAGTGGTGGCGTCTCCATATGAGTGAAAAATTCTCGAGAGGGATGTTAAACAACATACAAACAAAACAAACCTTTCCTTTAAAAGATATAATGTCGAAATCTTTCCAATGAATAGAGCCAAGGGAAAATTGAATGCACACTTTGGTGCTAATATGGTTGATTTAATGACCATTTTAAATTTTTTTTACTTCAGTGCAATTATCATGATTATGGTGCATGGCACAAGCCTTCAGCATATGCCAGCGAGTATGTTAATCTTTCTGTACGTTGATGCAAGTTTTTTAAGCTTTGTACATGCTGTAGTGTGGCAAAGCCTTAATTTGAAGAGGTGTGGAGCAACCTTTACATCTTTTGTGTGTGTATGTGAATTTACAAGAGTCTCACTTAGCCTATCTTCTTTTACGTGTTGGTATCACAGCTGTATCACGTATCACGCTCACAAACACCACAGTGAAAGGTTTAAAATATATGCACAACCAAACCTTTGTGAAATATCTGCACTTGACTGATATCACATGCATGACTTAATAATTTTATACGTGACTCGAATGACCTCTGATTTGTTTATCATGTAAATATTTTGAACTTGTCATTTACACCTTTATATAACGTTTCTTACTCTATACTTACCATGAGGGGTATTTACATACTAAAATAAATCACAGAATGACATCGAAGGTATAATCCAATAAGTATTTCTATGTTATTAGGTTCACAATCAAGCATCACGCCACAACAGTTACGATTAAGTAGTAATTCGTTCCGGTGATGACTCGGAATGAAATTTTACACAGAAAAAAAAATGTTTATTACTTGAGTAAATTTGAGTAGAATAGGTTAATCAGACAAATTTTTTTTTACTAGAAATAAACATGGTAAATGGAGAGGGGGGGGGGGAGGGGGGAGGCATTAACAATGTTCAAATAGATATTTCTATATATAGTCCCTGATTAGACTAAGTGTAAAATTTACGCAGTTCTTTATATATACGATGGACAATGTTTAGCAATTCATGCACCGATCCAGTCCAGTCCACTCATATTTTTTTTATTTTTATTTTTTTATTTTTTATTTATTTATTTATTTATTTTATTTTATTTTATTTTTTTTTTTTTTTTGAGTTTTCAAATTGTAGTTTTGCTCGGGGGTGGGGGGGGGGGTGGACAAGTTTGCGTTTTTAAAATTTATCTATTTATTTTTTAAGTTTTCTCAGTTGGATTATTTGGGGGGGGGGGGCATGGACCCCCCCCCCCCCCCCCCGGAAGAATTCCTGGATCATCTTCTGAGGAAACAATAGTGAACATGAATCACTAACTCTAATGAATAAATAAGGTAAAGTCTTGGAAACCACATTTTACAATTACCGTAATCACACCTCATCAAGTCTAGAGACTGTAATTATTTCTCTTACACGGACAGGTAAGCAACTAATGATTAAAGTTTCCAATCTGAATACATGTACAAAAACTTGTGGATTTTCATATTTTGATTAGTTTACCAGCTTTAAGGATACATACAAGAAGAACTGAGCATACTTTATTTTTGGATGAAAGAGAACTCTGATCTTGTCTACATTAGCCGTAGTATTTTAAAAATGCATTTCCCCTTCCGATCAAAACAGTTTATCATACACGTACCTCCATTATAAAGATATCTAATCTTTCTAAATTCTTTTTATACAATACATGTGCAGGTGTTCCATTGTGACATACATCAGGGACATTGTATTAGAAAATATTTAAATGAATTTGTTCATTTGAAATTCTGTAAAATCAGTCGAGAAACATTTAAAATCGAAAAGTGTGATTCTTATATGGTGAGAACGTACTGTTAAATACTTTTGTAATCATACATATTTGAAGCAGTTTTTTTTTAAATAAAGAATAAATTACAAATGAAGTGCATGTCTTGGACAAAGATAAATAAGATAAATAATTTCTAACTTCATAAAATAATTTATTTAACTTCTGAACTGAAGATGTGTTGATGGCAATATGTGTGACTATAAAGGATAGAGATAATTCCAGTTCAGTTCATAACTAGAACAAAGAACCAGATACGTTTGATATATTACATGAAGTATAATTTTTTATATAAGTTGAACATAATTAATTGATACGAGTGCATGAAATAGAAACATGTCAACATTATGAATAATTCGAGAAAATTCGAACTTAGACTCGATGACGACTGCAAATTATGCTTAACAAATGGATTGGGCCATGTAGTGGATTTAAAGTTATATGGAAATATATTTAAATAATTCTTTAACCTTAAAGTTTTATTTTGTGGATTATAACTAAGGGATTTGAACATAAATTTTTCAAGGGCATATAAACAACGAAATCTAAATACTCTATGTTTATCGAGTGATTGATTAATATCTTTGTATATGGAAACGATGTGATGTTTTGTAATTAACGCTTTAATTCACGGTAAAATCAACAGAAAATTAACTTACCTGATGAGATCATTTGTTGCTTTGTAGAAAAATCGAGATCATTACACACCGGAAGTCGGCCATAGTATTAGTCTGCATTGCGCATGCGCTAGAATCAAAATCGAGTAAAGTGTGTAAGGGCCATTTTTTGATCATAAGTCGGTGTGTGAAAATACGGGTGTAAACCGTCAAATGACACCAACTTTTTTTCTCGATTTTTTGGGCATAAATAATCGAGAACTACCCATTTTTCGTAAAACGGCAACTCACTACAGTGATTACTGTAGTGACTTGAAAAACTGTAGTGAGTTGATTGATGTGTCAATAAGTACCTGAGCTGAGTTGAAGGTGTTTACAAACGCACACACACACACACACACACACACACAATTGCACATTGTTGGGAAATGATAGTTTTGTCATGTTGATAAAATATTATAGGTTGTCATTTAAAAAGTTTGTGAAAAACAGCATTAGAAGGATGTTTAATATCGGTTTCGGTGCAACATTTATCTGACATTTAAAAATGACGTTGCCAGCAATGTTTTCGTTTAGTTTTAGTAGAGGCTATATGAAAATATAAATGTGTAACAGCATAGACTCAAAGAAAATAATTGACAAAATTTACATCCTTAAAACTTTATGATTAGAAGTATAATGTGTAAAATACATTAATATGACATACTATTCTGTGTAGAGCAAGGTTTGACTCCTATCCATATGAGAAACGGTAGAACGACACACGCATTGGTCTCGGACACTGACAAATTTATACATATGAATGGAAAAAGGCTTGATCGACTGGTTATCCAATGGTAGAGTCGTTTGGTAGACCAAGAAATATGACGAAAAACTGGTTTAGTAGTTGAACGTCATACTTTGAGACTGCCGTTTCACCATGCAAATTAATAAATTTATGATAGGGGTTGGAAAATTGACTATTAAAAAAATAATTCGCGATCTTTTGTTAACTCGAGTATGCGTGAAAGGGATAATTGGTAACTACCGATAGCGGAAAATAAAATACACTGTCAAATTTACGTTTTAATTTTTAAGAAGCATGCTTACTCAAAAATTCACTAACACAATGAGATACGTTTTGACGTCGTCAGTATTGTGCAAACAGCTGTACGGAACTTCTAATGTGCGTTTCCGACCCGATTTATATTACACAAACGCAAAATGTAGGGCATTTTATATTCGGTTTTTTTTTTATAAACGACAGCATCATTAGATATATATTGCGATTATAACTATAAATTCAAATCTTGACGAGTGTCTCTGCTGAAAAAAAAAAATCCCTTAAAGCTAAAGCTTGTTCATTCTATATAAAACATAAACTGGCAGTTAAAATCAAATCGAGAAGATTTTCAAGTGGCATATGACTTCGAGGTGAAAGACCTTAAACGAAGACCTCCTAAAAATACTTTAATATAAATTAGTTTACTAAAGTTAACTACATTAGTTTACTATAGTTAACTATAGTGCTAACTTTGACACTATCAAAACTCTAGTTAACGATAGTGATAATACTGACGCTTTGGTTTACTATAATGGTAACTTTGAAAACATTGATTTACTATAGTGATCACATTGACCTATAGTGAATGAATGAAAAACGTTCAATTACTATAGTGATCACTATGAAAACTTTCAATTACAATAGTTATCACTCAGTGTACTATGTATCGTAGTTTGACTTTGTTTATATAATTTATATAATATTGCTTACTTAAATTGAAAAAAAAGACTTATCAAAATGAAAGAAAAGATTATTCATTTTAGAAATGTTTTGCCAGTAGAGCTAGCAGTCATTGAAAAACACAAGGCCTCAAAAAGTATCAGAAACTAGAGTAAGAAATAAAAAAAAATGTTGATAGCTTTAGAAAGGACTTGTCTCAATGTATATACCTGTGAAATATGAAAGCCCAAGCAGCAACCATTCAAAAGTTAAAAAAAAGTTAAAAGGTTAAAGTTTTTTTTAAAAATTGACAAACTCCAAGGTCAACATCAAAGGGTCAAAATTAATAGTACTCTGGGGAAGGCCTGGTCTTAAGAAATGCACCTGTGAAATATAAAAGCCCTAGCACCAACCCTTCAAGTTCAAGGTCAAAATATTTACACCAATGAAAAGGTCTTGTCAAAATGAATATACATGTGAAG